ACCCAGGGGGACAGCTTGAGGCTCTGTCTCAAAAAAAAAAAAAAAAAAAGAATTAAGGCCTGCCATGGTTCCACTGCTAGTAATCTTGCAGAGCCATGATTTGAACTTAGGGAACTGGCCTCACATTATAAGCCCTTAACCACAAGCCATCTAAGTGAGGCAAGGGTATAGGTCGTAGCACGTAGCAAGCTACCTGCAGATGGGTCTCCTTCCCTCTAGCTTGTAACCTACTGAAGGACTTTGTTTCTCATCCCACCCCCCTGAGGAAAGGGCAGGACCCCTCTCCTCCGTGTGCTTGGTGTGTGCTGTTCCTTCCCTAAGGTATCCCAGCTTCCCATTTCTGGCCACCCCAGATGAGCTATAAGGGGAATCTGGGGGCAGGAGGGGAAAGATTGTGCTTCCCCAAGGGGAAAAACAGGCAACCCATAGAAGGCACTTCCCCACAGGATGAAAAGTACTGGACAAGACGCAAGAAGAACAATGTGGCAGCTAAAAGGTCACGGGACGCCCGGCGCCTAAAAGAAAATCAGATCACCATCCGGGCAGCCTTCTTGGAGAAAGAGAACACAGCCCTGCGGACGGAGGTGGCCGAGCTACGCAAGGAGGTGGGCAAGTGCAAGACCATTGTGTCCAAGTATGAGACCAAGTACGGGCCCTTGTAACCCGTGTCCACCACCCGGGCGGGGTGCTGCTTGCACCTCAGACCTCTGCCTGGGGGCTCCCTGAAACCCCTCACGCACGTGGAGACTTATGACTCGTCATGGGCGCGTGGCGGCGCACGTGCTGCAGGAGCGTCCTGTCTCAGCTTCATTATCACACGGCCAGTGCACGTGGCAACTGCCCTGGGGGCGCCAGCCTCCTCACTGGTGGGGAGCATGAGAGAATCTACGCAGACCAGACGGATGAATCGGCCTTAGTTTCTATTCTGGGATGTCCTGGTTAAATCGGAATGGGACCTCTGGAGTTTAGATCTCTCCTTTCACAGGGCACTCAGGCTTCTTTTAACACTCCCTCAGTCTCCAGCGTGGGCTGCTGGGGGCTGTCTCTGAAGAATGAGTCACGATTGTTGTCACCCTTATGTCTTCTCAGGTAGCAGGGTGCATTTCCACTTGGGGGTCTATCACGCACCTCATCCTCTCCAGAAAGTCTTTGAGGGAAACATCTGTTCCCATCTTCCTTGGAGTTAGAAGGACAAACCAAATCCTCCGTTAGTGTCTGCATGGGTGACAGGCCACAGGAGTGGGGTCTCTGCACAGCCTGGGTGGGGTTTGCATCTGGAGCCTGTAGCAGGAGTTTACCCAACTGTTCTTAGCCCCATCCCACTATTCCCTGGTGGCTCTGAGATCTGGATGCCAGGGAGGAGGCCCTGGTGATTGGCACTCTGCATTTCATGGGCATGGAGGGGAGATTCCAGGTCAGCTGGTCTCAAGCCCTGGCTGCCAGCACAGAGGGAGGCCTTTTCACCTCCTCTCTAGGCCATCTATGGAGGCCACCTGACTCTCTCGTTTGTTTCACCAGACTGGTCCTCTGGGGTTTACTGTTTCTTTTACCTAGTAATCAATCTCAGATCATAGGTTTAACATGAAAACTCCCCTTATCTAGGAAGGTTTAATTTCCTGGATTCCAGGATGCAGCTTCCTCATGGTGTTTAGAAAACTGGCCTCCACAGGCCCTTACACTGTGGGCATGAGAGCTGGCGCATGTTTCTTGAGAAACACCTGTTTTTTCTTGTCCTATTCACCAGTGTGGCCCAGGCCAGAGTCCACTCTCCTCTGAGGCAGAGAGGCCATCCTAGTTCTTGGCTTACTATCCCTCCTGTGTGAGCTACCCAGAGAATGTCACTAGGGCAGGGCACCTAGTCCAGGGCTGCCAAAGTCACAGTGCATCCCTTATGGGAATAGCAGGCTCTTGGGATATTTACACAGAGTCCCCTTGATCTTGGTACCAGGAGATGGGGCCACCCACATGAGCCTGGGTATGGTATGGAGGGATTCTCATAGCCGTGGCTTCCTCTGCCTCACAGCTACTCCTATGTCCTGTGTCTGGCTGGACTCGTCCTTTTGCTCTGCCCAGAAGATTAACTGAGGACGTTTGTGGAAACCTCTGCTCATTTGGGTCAGTTGGAGCACTCTGGAGATGGGTGTGTTTATTTGCTTAGGGCAGGCAGCTTATGGTGAAGAGGAGACAGAGGTGACCGGCGTGCTTTGTCTCATATAACACTGGCTTTATTTAAAGTGGTGGCTCAGAGTCCCAGGCCGAATATGTAAAGACTTTTCATAACAGATATTAAGACCAGGCCATTGGCCGCACCCCCAGGGAATGCCATGGCCTTCTAGGGGCCTGCACACCCACCTCTCTGGGGAACTTAACAAGGGTCCCTGAGGCCAAGGGAGGTCACCCCTCCCTCTAGGCCCCTGACTTTTACTTTGTGGTTCTATAAAAACTATGTACACACTTTTCACTCTGTTGTAACCACACAGGGCAGGTGCATCCAGCATGTCAGCGTCTGCCCTGGGCAGCTTGCCCTCCCGGGCACTCTCCCTCTGGTCTGGCTACTCACCAAGAGGACAGTTGTCACTTTGTTATTGGTGGAAGAGCCTCTAGCTTAAAAGCTCTTCATTTTCTTTGGCCAGAAGTGTATGGTTTATGCTTTTTTAGTTTGATTTTTTTTTTAAGGGTGGACACTTAATCTCTGAATGGTGTCCATGTTCCAACCCCAGTGGGTGGGGTGATGGCTTGATGTCTCTCCTCTTTGTTCCACCTGCCTATTCAGTGCCCTTCCCTTCTTCCCCCCAGGCAGTGGGTGTCGGGTCCCTCCTAAAGTGCTTACTTGGAAAGAGTGTGGCTGCGGGACTCTTTTAGAAGAGCCCCTTTGAGTAGGAGCCTGGCAAGGACAGAATAGAGGATGTCCACAGAGGTTGACATTTTAGGGAAGAGAAGTGCTCAGGTAAGGTCATTTCCTCCCTGGCCTAAGAATTGAGTCCTTGCAGGGGGAAAGGGTCGGTGCCTGCTCAGTTTCCATCAGGGAAATGAGAGTCTCCCTCACTGTCCATGGTTCCTCTCCATCTTGGGGCTGACAGCTGAAGACAGAGGCTTCTGTACCCAGATCTTGACACCTACAAAGCACTGGAGGCTAGAAAAACTGACTTAACCTTGGGTTTCCATGGGTTCACGATGGACTTGGAGGTGCCATCCACTTCCTAGGTGTTCTGTCTGCAGCTTTGTGGCAGCCTTGCTGTAACCTCAGAACAGACAAATCATGAATGAGCTGGAACACAGCAAGAATATACGTATTATAAATGTATATATGGATAGAAGTACATACATGTTTCAAGAGGGAAAGAGCTTTTAGCAAGACAACCTTCAACTCTGTGAAGGCCCTGGGTAGCTTAGCCTTGGCGGACAGAAGGGGTTGCCTGTCTGGCTCCTGAGGTTGGGGCAGTCACTTAACAGTGAACCTTAACTCTGGGTACATGTCACCCTGCTGAGAGGACTGCTTGTGGCCCTGGGCAGGCAGCTTCTATAGTCCTCTGGCCTGAGGCAGAGTGGTGGGCATGAGAGCCAGTAGAGGAAGGCCCCTGTGTGCTGGCAGCTTTCACTCTGCTCCCTGTAACACAAAGGGCCGAGGAGCTTCTGTTCTCACGGCAAAGCTCCGCCCCAGAGCTCCCTTTAACATCTGCTAATTAAGTGCAATAAATTTTTCTAGAAAATGGCAAAGATGACTTCCAGGTGGATATTGCTATCTCTTGGTGTTTGGGATGCCAGAACACCACTTGGTTTTATTTTTCTAAGTGCATGTGACATGGTAAGAGTGTGTGGGGCTCCGTGTCCTCCCCTGGGAGCTGGCATTCCAGTGGGCCCCTCTCCTTTACCTTTGTTGGGGGAAGGAGACAAGAGAAAAATCCCTTCTTCCCAGCTGGAGAGGGCGGAAGCAGACCGCAGCCCATTGGCCTTACGTGCGTGTGTGCGTACGAGTGTGTTATTGCTGGTGGGCCAGAGCGACATGGTGGGGAGGGAAGCTGGGAATGTATCCTTTTCAAATAAAGTTAAATATTTTGAGATGAGAATGTGGGGACTGTCTTTTCTGTCCACCCTCGCCCTGCCACCCATTTCATCTGCATGTTGACCTGGGTTGGGATCCATCCCAGACACTCCCTTCATCACCATCCAGGAGTCCCTGAACCTAACCTCTAACCCTCTGCCTCAGTTTCCTCATCTATCAGATGGAAGTAATTCTTGTTCTGCTTACATTGAGGAAGGACAAAAATCAGACCAAAAGCAATTTGAACAGGTCAAAGTGCTGTGCAACTCGTAGAGAGACAGGAACTGCTTATGAAATGTGTTTCCAAGCAGAGAATGCTCAATGGCATGTATGTAAAAAAAAAAAAAGAAGAAGAAGCAGCTCAGCGCCTGTAGCTCAGGTTTGAATCCAGCCCAGGCCAAGGAAAAAAAAATTGCTGGGCTTTGTAGCGGGTGCCTATAGTCCCAGCTACTTGGGAGGCTGAGGCAAGAGAATCACTTAGGCCCAGCAGTTTGAGGTTACTGTGAGCTTATGATGCCACCACACTCTACCCAGGGTGACAGCTTGAGACTCTGTCTCAAAAAAAAAAGAAGAAATGAAAAAGACAGGGAGGATTGGATCCTGGTGGAGAGATTCTAAGAGGTTTCCTTTTCTCCTTTGCCAGATTTTCTGTGTCAATGAAAAGACAAATTTATACACAAGGATGCAGCAACTTGCAGGGCATAGAGCCAACATTGTCAATTCAGTCAGCCTTGGCATCCACAGGTCCCAAGTTGCCCAGGAAGTGCACCGCCCTTGGCAGTGCTCCCTGCAAACCCCTCCCCTGTCCAGCTCCAGTCTCCCTGTGCTTTTCTCCCTCCACTCCCACTGGGCGTGGAGCCAGCGGTACCTGCTTTCCCTGCTTCCTCCACAAGGCCTGGGGCTGCCCTGTTAGAATCAAGGCTGCTCCTTCCTGGCCTCCCCACACTGCCTGTTGTTAGCACTTAAGGTCTCTGTAATTTGAGGGACTAGGAACCATCTGTAATTTTGTTTCTAAGAAGAAAAAAGCATTTGAAGCTTGGAGGTAGGCTGGCAAGGGGGACTCTTAAGTGACAATCTTACAAACGAAACATTGAGGCTCAGAAAGGCAAAGTGAGGCAGCGCCTGTGGCTCAAAGGAGTCAGGCACCGGCCCCATATGCCAGAGGTGGTGGGTTCAAACCCAGCCCCAGCCAAAAACTGCAAAAAAAAAA